TTTTGGGAAGAAGCTAGTTTTGTGATACTTGGACGATATGTTTTAAACATTGCTTGCATTAATTATAAAAACAAAATGGAGACACTTGAAATAACTTGGGGGGAAAAAAAATGACATTATTGACTGAGTGGAAAACATGACCTACAGTATGTTTTCAGGACAAACAGGCAAATAAAGAATTTTCTCTCAGTGCGCTATTTCTCGGTATTGTAAAGATTCAGAATGAGCAGATGGTCTTTCTTGTTCATGTGGTTAGCCGTAGAGCCGATATCCACAACAGGGTCAGAGTGTACCGAGCCAGAATTCTTAGTGTGGTCTTCCTCACAGTGTGAACGCTAACTATAAAATACTGTTCGGACCCGGTGCCAAACTCCTGGTGAAACCACGTAAGTCAACAACGAAACAGAATATTGTCAGTTACCATGCTGTGAGGCAAAACAGATTTTATAAAGGTAAAATAATGACTAATTAGATTATCGTTCTTCAGCTTAGTAAGTATACGTGTGAATATTGTATGAATTACACATACTGTATCTTACATTTAACTGAGGGCCAGAAATGCTTATTGATTCCTTAATGTGCTGACAGGATTCTTCCTGGAGTTATTCAGTAATCCTGAATCCTATGTTTCCATTTTATTAGTCAGTAACAAAAAGTCCCAGTATACTTTGAGATATCCTTAAATACCATACATATACGTGTGTGTGTGTGTGTATGGATCAGAAAGAGGTGCTTTTTGAAATGGCATCTCGGACTGTGTGAATAACAACGTCAGGATGTTCTTTGGGTCTGGGACAAGGCTCTCTGTGGAACCCAGTAAGTAAATATCTGTGCATTCATGAGACTTCTACATTCCCCGTTTTAAATATATGGAGAAACGCCTAATCTGCTTTTGGATCAAGTTTCCTCAAAATGTGATGGCATTCTCAACGTCAAATTCAAATGTAAGAATGACTTCAAGAGCTTCACAATACAAATACATTATTTCAGATGGATGAGAAATAAAAGAAGTGTTGCAATATGGAGATTAAAATATTGTGCTCAGTTTTACGGCAATTGATCTCATTAACGTAACTGCCTTTGCAATCCAAATGGTTTTCTTCTCGGACTCAAAATTTGCACTCAAAGTTAAACTCTTTTTGTTATCCAGTATATATTTTAAAGCATTAAAATGAATTGAGAAAACTCCCTGTTCCTTCTTGTGATGTTGTAAACTGTCTAATACGTATGAGTGTCTATTAGTTAACTGTTTCCCTATTAATTAGTTAATTAATAGGGAAATTCCAGTGGCAGCTTTTTTATTTGAAAACTGGATGCGTCGAATTTAAGGCATTTCCATTCCTTGTAAGATCAGTATTGGCCACTCTGTAAAGCTACAGATTTGTGTTCATTCACAAAAGCGTTTCTGGAAGAGCGGTTTTTTGAAAGGCCGTGACAGACTGTGTGAATGACAACATCAGGATTTTCTTTGGGTCTGGGACAAAGCTGTCTGTGGAGCCCAGTAAGTAAATATCGGAGCAATCCATGACGTGTGCAAACCTGGGATTTCTGCATTTAAAAAACCCAAAAGATCCAAAATAGTGTTATTGATCCAAAGAGTCAAGCATGACAGTACAGTCACAAATCAAGGATGTATATACATGGCATGATATCTGGTATCAGATTGTGCCGAAATGTCAAAGCAGAGATCTGTTTACAGATCTGTTTCATTCTGGAGAAATCTGTTGTAAAGCAGCTCATTATAACCAAATGGGAAGGAGATGTGTACTATGTGAATCCTGCAGAAAGCAGGATTGGATATGAAACTTACTGTGCAACCATGTATGTATATACAAATTAATTCAGTTAAATTAATGCAGCATAAGCTGTGCCTTATTAAGAGCTCTGTATTGAATTCTTAATATAAACTAATTCGAGTGCAAGAGCTTAAATATTAGTGCACCATTTGAACCCTAATGAGACCACTATTAACAGTTATTTTTTCCTTTTTATATTAAAAGGAAAATATTAGTATCTCCATTAATCGATACTATTTATTCATATTAATTAGAAAAAGGTGGTACTCCCACTTATTGTAAATTATTTAACTTTTCAGTGCCTCTTTATGGGACAGCCTTGCTCTTCCTGAGTATTGATAGTCATATCCTTTAATATAAAAAGACTAAAACCTTTCTAATCTATACCACAACAATTTAAGAACTGAAAAAATCAATAAGGTAGTAAATGTGTGCATACACTGTAGTAGTAAGTATTTTTCACTCAAGTATAGCGATTCACATTAAGCCAAATTTGGGCAAAATGTAAAATTTTAAATTGAATAAAAAGATGATTTATTTAGGCCAGATATGCCTCATAGGTACAGTCTGAAACATGAAAATGGATCATTTCATTCTGCTGATCACAGTTATTGTTGAGGAATGTAGGTCTGTGTGAATGATCAGGGTTTCAAGTTGATATTTGGATCAGGAACGAAACTTCATGTTCAACCATGTAAGTTGTGCTTATTTCAGCAAATGAAATTATTACAAATATGTAGAAAAAGTGGGTAAAGGCTTTGTACTGCTTGACACAAGAAATTCCTTAAATCTGTTCTGGTTAAGGGAAAGAGCCTAGCATGGAATTGTCTGGTTTCTGTGGTATAGACTGTTGGAATCGCCTCTAAATTAAAATGTGTTTATATTTAGGCTCGTTGAGAAACTGAACTGTATTAATTCTGTAATGTCATATCAGTAAGGAAACCGCTGAGCATTTACAGGAGAAAACATGGGTGAAATGAAAAACACTATCACACAGACTAGAGCACTTCTTTTTCGGACTAAGGAGATTTGTGTTATACCAAGGGCATGAACCAGCAGGATTAGAGGTGGACTGCAGATTGTGTTTCGCCTTGCGCGTCTTTGTGGGAGCACAGTCATCTCTGAGAAAGTAGCCTTGTGTACCGGTAGTTCGTGTAGCTCGTATCCTCGTGTGAATAGCTACTGTATGGCCAAGTCCTGTTTGGATCTGGTCCGTGAAGTGAGTTACCTGCTGTTCCTACGGTACATTAGCCTTTATATCGCCCATTCTTCTATCCCGACAGTGCGTGGGGGGATTTTTGATGTAAAGATTAAATTCTTCTCCTCTCCCGCCTTGCGCCCGTACCTTGTCAGGATAGGCTCCGGCTACACCGCGACCTTGTGTTAGACAGCTCGGTTAGAAAATGGATGGATGTTTCTACTGTGGCAAACACTTCTAATCTACATCACTGCAGTATTTAAAAGCCGTCACTCGTGGTCATTCGGCTTCCCTGAAATCCAAAACACGGAGAATAGCGGGTAGACCCGGTGGACCAACTTTTCTATGCCCTCTGAACTGGTGAGAGAAAGGGAGTTTTTTGGTGCAAATGGTTCTCATCTGCGCAAAAATATCCACAGGACCCCCGAAAGAAAAATGTCAAATACTACGTTTCGAAAGCGGCGTCTGCATGCCCAACAGAAAAGAGCAACGTGAGAGAATATCGTTTGTGAAAAGTCTTTGTAAGGTTAATAGCATTTTTTAAATGCATTGGATTGTGGTGGATTTTGGTTCGTGCTGCACGCGTGTCTAGACTCTACAGCAAACGCTTTTGGCCTTTTCAGGAGTGAAAAAGCTCTTACAGATATGTGCGCGGTAGTGTCTGCTTGATTCTCAACCAACGTAGACAGACAGGTGGTTTCTGACACCACTCTCTGTACTGTGTGAATGTTAACAAGATAACCTTCGGTTCCGGCTCAAGACTCGTTGTTCAGCTAAGTACGTTTTCACTGGATACATAAAGCAACAATGTCATTCGTTTCGAATCATCGTCGTGTCTGGCCAGTTCTATTGGAACAGAATTCTGTCTCATAAATGAACCTGGTGCAAGTGTATCGGGCTTCCCCTAGTTATTGTAAAATCTTGTCACTGAACAAAGTAATGGTTGTCACGTTTATAGTCTGCATGTGGTATTGTGTTTTTTCCATGCAGATATTAAAAAAAAATACGTAAAATTACTATATACAGTACATGTGCTTGTGAAGGGATTTTTGTAGACTCAAAAATCACAAAAAAATGATTTACTTTCTGTACAAAAATGAAGTTGCGCACGTCAAACTCTTGAGGAAAAGATCTGGAGTAAAACATATAACTTAATGCAAATTAGGGGAAAAAAAGTCAGTATTTTCAAAAGTTTAATTTACCATCTTACTGTTGCTATTAGTTAGCTTCCAATTTTTAAAGCTGTGATACTTTGTTTTAGAATGTTTCGCCTGAATCTTTTTTTGGTTAAGCGCTGTAGCATTGTGTGAATGATTATGGACAGAAAATAATTTGGGGATCTGGCACATACCAGGTTGTTGAACCAAGTGAGTTGTCTATTAACATTTGAATTCTCTGCTTAGGGACTGAATGAAATCTAAATTGTTGGGTTTTTTTTTTTCAAATAAGTGATGCACTTAAAGTAAGCCAAGAGTAACTAAGCTTAAGAAAAGCAACACAGTTCTTTCAAATTTTATACTCGTCTCATTTTTATTAGTATTACTGCCAAATACTTCAGTGTTCACAAGGTTGAAAACGTGGTGAACTTTGAATACAACAGAGCTTGAAGAGGAATTGGTATTCTCAGTCTTCAGTATTCATTGGACTAATCTCATTCTGAGGTTGGGGATTTGTGGTGACAATTTAAAAAACGGTAGCACTTCCACCCAGGATAGTATAATGAAATCTCTTTGGCCAGGTCAGATAATGCTTTCTTGGACTGGTTTGGTATTTTCTCTTGGTGGTGTACGAGCCTGGAGATGAATTTTAGACAGGAAACACCCTGCGCACTGAGCCCTGTCGCAGACCGTGTACACAAAGTTAGGATCTTTGCAAAACCCCATGACGTCCGCGAAAAAAACAAAGGTGTTAAAAGGCTCTCCATGCAATACTTAAGTGAAAATGTAGTTTTTAAAAAAAAAAACAAGCTGTAAGCTCATGTGTGCTGTTTTGTTCTTGTTTTAAAGGGAAAGAGAACACAAACCCATCTGCCTATGTCTTGGCATCAGCTAAAGGGCCTGGGGCCTGTCTGGCCACTGACTTCGGGTCATACAACACCACAATCTCGGTCAATGGGATTAACAGCGGTGCTCAGCCCAGTCTGATCGAGGGAGAGAAGGCCTACAGCATGGTGAAGATCATGCAGGATCCAAACGTTAAATGTGAAGTGAATTTCGGAAATGGCTCAGTTGTAGAAGCACAGAAAGGTAAGCATTTACACCTTAAGTAAGACTCATTTTCAATTAAATTATAGCACACAGCACTGCCAGACTTCCACTCCGAGAACAGAATGATATGGTATTTGTAAAGAATGATGAAGCTGCAGCACCATGCAAAGTCGTCACTGGTTGATGTTTTAAGCCGCTGGAGAGAGACTTTTTTCAACAACTGTTTATTTTTCCTGTTTTTCCAGATGACGGTTTGGACCTGTGCAGCACTGCGGGAAACCAGTATTTCCAGACAGGTACATAGATATTGAAAATATCCCTAAAAAAATGTTTGCTTACAAAAAAAACCCCACAAAAACAACGCACCAATACTAGAAAATGAATTCATTTCCTAAATTAATTGTATATCTCTCCCAAGAATCCCTACACATCAGATTCCCTGATTAAAGACATTCCTCTTTTTATGCAGAAACTGTCTGAACAATTATTGAGGGTTTATGTGCCTTTTAATTAATATAACGAAAAGCTACTGTTGCAAGTTTAATTATCAGCTATCTGAATCTTAGGTTGCTGCTCAATGAATCTTATTTCCATCTTTGAGGTATATTAAATGTTAAAACTAGACTCTTTCACATGGCTCACGTTTCCCTTGCGATCTTTAATTTCAGATGAAAAGATCAACTTCTTGTCCTTGACTGTCCTGGTCCTCCGAGTTCTCTTCCTGAAAAGCATCGGCTTCAACGTGCTCATGACTATCCGAATGTGGGGAAGTTAGGGTGAGTACTGGGAACTTGGAATCGCCACCACAGTCGCTGTCTCTGCAGTACCTGTGGCCGCCGCATGGCCAAAGACGACTGACCATCATCCAAGTCAGGAAACAGCTCTGTGGCATAGTTATGGCTAATAGAGACAAACTGAGAAGCAAGCAAAATAAGAACAATTAAAATCAGACACAGATGGGCTTGAGTCAAAAGCTATTACAATTGTATTCTAGGTCTCGAGCCTGAGCATTAGCCTCTATCACATAAATAAGGTCAATTATTTTTAAAATAATTATTTTAAAACTTTAAACTTAACACTAATACAAAAATAGCGTATTCAGCGTCAACTAACTTCAGATCGGTTCCTCTTTCAGTCTGCACACTGGTAACAGTCTGAGGTTCGAGTTGCACATAGAATCTAGACTGCGAAACCAAGAGGGCAGAAACACACAGCACAAAGTCGTCACAGAGGCCTGCTGGACAAAGCAGTGAAGTGTTTTCATCGTTTGTTTTTCAGGAGGTGTTGGTCCCTCCAGGCTGGCGACAAGACAGAAAAGGAAAGAATGAAACAGCGAAAAAAAAAACCGTTCGGATTTGAGATGTTTCGGGCTTTGCTGCTTATTATCATCTTTCAAACAATGACAGCGCCTCTCTCCTAGTTTAAACGGAAGAATGTTCCACAAGTGCCCGTATCGTGCTCTATAAAGAATCTTCTATAAAGATTGATCTGCAGAGATATTATATTGTATAAAAGAATATTCCAAATGCATTGTCATCTAGGTGTATATTCCTAATCACAGACGTACGTGTGAAAAATGTATATGAGAACATTTTGTTCAAAAAGCTTTTTTGTTTGCGTTTTTGCTCGTATCAGCTTGTTAAACACAAAAGTGCTTGGTCTCCATCTGCAAGTCCTAGTGTTTCAGTTCTCTGCTGTTAGGTAGCGAACATCTTTAGAGCAGGTATGTGCCATACAGCGCCAGAATGGACTGGCCATCCAGACGTTAGTATGTGAGAACATGGCCTCAGGCACTGATACACATAGACTTGCAGAAGGTAGGTTCTTAGCATCTAAAATTAGCCAATTATCAATTTATCATTTGTAAAAAAAAAAATGTATCTTTAGTTATTCTTTACTTACAATTACCCATGTTTCTCTAGAACATGTTTCTCGGGAAGCTTTGATGGGTTTTAGGTCAATTCAAAGCCAGATGTAAACTGTCACGATGAAATAGCAGTGCTGTTGTGGTGCAGTAACATGTAAATGAATGGCTTTTAATCCATTGTGTTAACCTGAAATCTCAACCTGTGACATTCTGGTTTAGCCTTTGGCTGTATAAATGCTTTGTTTTCTGTTTTGAATATGTAATGAATATGTAATTTACTTCTGTGGCTGTGCTTAAATAAATCTAGATTTAAATACTGCTTTTTTTCTATTTTTTTATTACAAGTTGTTGCATTCAGCGTTGTGGATTGAGGAGAGTGGAGGAGTTCTCATTAGCTTTGCATGGGGTTAGTTAGCAGAATACCAGCAATCAGTGGACACATTTCCTTGAATACGACCATTGGAGGGCAGTATTGGGGCCCTGTGTTCGGCTTCTGGACCTGGGGTGCTGTCTGTGTGGAGTTTGCATGCTCTCCCCATGTTCTTATGGGTCTCCTCTGGGTGCTCCAGTTTCCCCCCCCCACAGTCCAAAAACATACGGGCAGGTTAATGGGCTTCTGGGAACATTAGCTCTGGTGTGAGTGTGGGCATCACTGTGTGTCTGCCCTGTGATGGACTGGCGTCCTGCCCAGGCTGTACCCTGCCTTGTGCCCGTTGCCTGCTGGGATAGGCTCCGGCTCCCCCAGGACTCTGTACTGGATAAATTGGCTACAAAATGGATGGATTTTTTTGAAAAAGGTTGTTTTTTGTCTTACTGGAGTGTTTTAACATGGCTGTGAAAGAATAGGACTTGAAATATTTAAAACTGCCCTTCTTCTCTTTACTGCTGCCTGCCTCAACTCATACAGCCCCTCAGGTGAGTTCTCCCTCACCTGGATTTAAATTGAGCCTCCGTATGTTGAAGCAGTCAGTGCCAGAACTGGGCTGAAGGAGGATCATGACACAGTGCTGCAGTCTGACCTGTGGACTGTGTTAGATGCCATTGGGGTTTTTCTCTACTGCAGAGACTGAATCCATGTGACTAGTCAGGCTAAACATGACGAAACATGCCTGGATCTCCTGTGCAGATCTGCAGCAGCCTCAGACTAGATTCCTTCCAATGGTGCCACTTTTAAGCACTGAGATACTGGTGGCACCCACCTTGCAGAGACCTTCCAACACTCATGGGGAGACACGCTGACCAGACCCCCGACACTCACGGGGAGAGACCTTGACCAGACCCCCGACACTCACGGGGAGAGATGCTGACCAGACCCCTGACACTCATGGGGAGAGACCTTGACCAGACCCCCGACACTCATGGGAGGTCATCATCACCAAGCTCAAACACATCACCAAGTGTTAGAAATAACTAGACTAGTCATCTCAGCCTGGGTCATCAATCTCTCTGGGATTACAAGAGACACCAATAAAGAGTTACAAATACTATAATACACAAGTTCATATTAAATATGTTATTGGAAAACATGTCAATTAATTATACTTTTATAAAAATTATAAGTTGTTTATGGAAAATTATGGAAAGGCAAATATCATACTACTTACATGAATTAATATGCATCAAACATATATTTCATTTGAAGTAAAAGATTAATTCTTGAGCATAAAAATCACAGATCACCCCCCCCCCCAACACACAACTTCCTTCATTCGCATGTCCTTCTCCCCAGTCCCAGTCCTTACGCCACCTCCCCTTCCAGCACAGTTCCCAGTGAGCCCCTTTACCCCAGCTGCTTCACACTCTGCCCTGTGCTCAGTATTGGGGGTTTTCCTGGCTAGAGCTACTTCCATTTTCACTACGATTTACTACTTAGGTTTTTAGCTTCCTGACCCTGGTTTGGTCTCGGATTACATCTCCTGGCTTTGGGTTTTGGTACTTTGGTCATCATTCTGGTTTCGACTCTCGGCTTCTTGCTCCGCTTCTGGTTTTGTACTTGTGCACCGGCTTGTTTCCCTACAGCTTTCAGACCTCGCATTGTTCTATCGACGACGCCTCTGGAGATCGTTCTGGTTTTCTGCATAGGGCCCTCTCTGCTATTTCGTAACACCCAGCTGCTGATGCTCACCCGGCCACAGCATCGCTCTGCGCCTCTTTCACAGCCCCTGGGGTCCCCAGCGTCTGCGGGGTCCCCCCTGCCCCACTGGCGTCCCATCAGTGGACTTCTTCACCCTGTGGCCTTTACACACGGCCCCAGCCGAGACCCTCTCAGACGTGCTGAATCCCTACTCGGCCTTCAGGACCACTGCTGTAGCCTGAAACCCACCCCCAGCGGGTTCAGCTGCAGCAGACGGACAAGACGGGCCAGGGCGCGTCCGTTCTGTACGTCGAGCTCGGCTCCACCATCCTGGAGGCTCAGCCTGCCTTCCCGTCCGTTCTCACAAAGTTCCTAAACTACCCCCGCCCTGGGTTCGGCACAGCCAGCCACAGCCCCATGTGTTCAGGATACTACTTCCAGGTCAGTGTGAGCCTGGGCTCAGCGGCCATCTTGGAATCCCAGTCTCTGCCAATCAAACCTGGGACCGGCATTCCTCTGAACCACTGCACAAGTGGAAACGTCCCGATCAGCCATTAACTAGCGCCCTCTGACACACGCTCTGTCTTTGAATTATTCTGCATCCCATGTTAGGGGCTTCCTTTTACCTCTTTCTGGGGTCTTATCAGCCTTGACCTTCTAGTCAAAGTGCCATTACCGCAGCCAGGCGAGTTAGGCCAAATGCAAATAGGGTATCCATACAAACGCCATCATCTCGTTGTGTTACTTAAGATATGACCCAATTCTGACCACTACCGAAATACATCTTGACCTTTCTAAGAAAGAAAAACCTTCCTAATATAATATAATAATATAAGATTGGTGGTTTACACAGATAGCTCCCTCTACTGGGCGAGATGGTAAGAGCAAGTGAACAGGAGCGATAACAGAACACAGGAAGAAGGGGAGGGCGGAGTCTCCAGTTCTAAGCACCGTGGGTGACTCCCAGTCTTTATTAACGTTAATTAATAAATGTTTTTAATGTCAGTCAGAAAACATGGTTTGAATAAAACAAAAACGTTTGTGATTCTGCACGTGCAAGCCCTGCGGCAGAAGAAGACATTTCCGCGAGCAAGGAGGCAGATGTTTAATATTGAGCAAATCTAGTGTGAAAACAAAGCAGACGAAACCTACGATTTTATTTTCACCAAACAAAATCTGATTAACACCTGCAGTTGAAGAGTTCATTATTTTAACTATTTAAACCGAGAGAAAAACAAAAGAAACTCAGCCTAAATGTGTAATCAGTTCTACTAATGTAAAGTAAAGTTACTAATGATCAGTTAAGTGCTCCCGAACAAATGCCTTGCAGTCACAAGATAAATCTTGTATTCTAAATAAAAAGAGAAAACAAAAATCATCAGGAAACACTCATTTCCATATGTATCCTCATTGCTTTAAACGGCGAGATTGTTTCTACTAGGAATAAATCATTACACCGAGGCAGCAAACGCAGAGTATGATAAACAATCCAAGTTAGCGGGGTCTCTATCAAACACCTGTGTGCACGTTATATCAAGGTGAAAAGAAAATGACCAGATTTAGAATAAGAATTCCATAACTAAACCTGTAACATTAGCATAGATGGCAAAGTGTTCAGATGAAGACATGGTCAAATGCAAAGGTTATTATTGGAGCATCAGTATTAAGAATAAGAGATTGATATGAGTACAGTACACAGTTTAAGAATCTGTTCTGACTCTGTAGACAGATTGAAGTATCATTCAGTCAAAAGACTCACGCTTCAAACAGCTTCAAATGTTTTAAAAAGAACTGCTCGGACAATGAAGCAGATCGCCAAATTCGTGAGATCTTTCAAGACTGGCTTCCACAATCAAGAGAATCCGAATTTTATTTATCAAACTTTTTGACTGAACATTTACATGGGTGAAATTGGTTGTGCAGGCGATACGATCATGTGGACAAAGGATGTTTATCCTCTAACATCCATTGAATTCTTAACACTCGCTGGTTTGATGTGACAGGAACTGTTATATGCAGTACTGTATAACCAATACGCTTAATTCAAATATTAAAAAAACACTCACTTTTCAAATGTTTTTCCTCTTATTGCTATTCCGTTTTTATTCTTGTATGTTGTTGTTTTTGCACTTTCAATCGTTCGGATACAA